CTCTCTAAAACAAGTATACTAAGCAGAACTCCTACATATTATACAAAAAATGCTGCCCCGATTAAAATCATGCTGCACAAAAGAGGACTGCAACATTTACCACAGCAAAAACAATAATTTTGCACACTGCAACTGCTTTAAATTATCAAAATATTCTTGTATCCTACAACTCACATTGCATATTCAATGAAGTTAAGGGACGGACTGCTGGGTCTTTTCTATATACAGTGTAGTTTTCTAAATGTTACTAAAATTCTGAAAATACATTTTTTAGATTGTGGTATCTACTCCTACTGATTAGCTTCATCAGTAAACATTAAAGCAGAAATGCTCTATATACACAGCAGAAGTCATAATATAATATTGCATTTTATACCTGTACGATAAACAAAGCGAACAAATAAGAGCAAAATCACACTCTTAATATGTTGTTTACACTGAAATAAGTGACTGAAGCTGTGACTAAAAGAGAACATTTACAACCTAAAACATCTCTCACCTAGCAAACTATGAAGAAATGTCCTTCATCTGATCCCTGCAACCTCAACATAATGAACACGCTGGCAAAGCATTAAAATATCTCACACACCATATGGAGGTATTTAGTTCTATTCTTTACATTTTTAGGTAAGAAATGGCAGTTTGAAGATTCTGAACAGAATGGTAACAGCATCATGCAATAACCATATGAATATAAAAAGGGTAGGACTGCAGATTAATGTACACAGTTTTCTATTACATGAAAATGTAAACATCAAAAATAAATTCTCTTATCATTGGTATATATAGTGCTTAACTTCAGTAATTTCACTGCAGCATGCACATTCCTGGACAGGAACTGAAAAATTTGTGTTGCTATATTCCAGTCATGTTCTACTGTTTAACTGCCTTAGCTTGGAAAACACCTAAGAGGGCCATGTTTCAGTTTGTAAAAAAAGCTTAATATAATATGAAGATAACATGGCTATTCTTAACAAAAATGTGGAAAAGGGAGAAACAATACATTAAGATATCACACCTGGCTATTGATTTTGATAAATGTAAAATTTATTTTAAATTAAGTTTTCACGTTATGAATCCAAACCAATCTCCTGGCACTACTGATATTAAATATGTGTCTTACTTCCAGTTGTCACCTCATGATAGTAATGTTTCTGACACTCTGTTCATGATATTAATAATACATTTTTGGAATTAGAATTTAAAAACAAAGAATAATGTGACCATTTAGAACATAAAATCTAGTTGTCTTTTACTTGAACCAATGAAGATGTGCTTTATGACCCCAAATCAGGAAACTTCATGATATTAAGGTAAGTCTGTGAGAGTATAGAAGCTACTCGGTGCAAAAGTAATTTATACAATCATCAACAATCTCATCACTTCATGGATTAAGCAAATCACTTGTTCCTCCAGCCTCTAGTGCTGTTATATGACTCTTTCCATCTTCTTCTTGGTCTTGCTAAGTCTTGCCTGCTAAATGGATGATATTTATAGACTTGAAGTGGAATGCAAGTCCGTTCCTTTATTTTCAACACATTTATCTCTATATCCTGTAACTTTTTCATATAAAGGGAAGATACCCAACTCATTTTATATATCCACATTTCTTAGTTGTTCTGTCCTAGTGTAACCTTTAACAGTTTTAAGGCAGTTAATTTCTGCTGCTTGAATTCTATTCCAGACTCTCTTCTTTGAACATCCATGTTTCACTACCATATAAAAGCATCTGGACTGCCATAACCTTACATAATATTAAATTTGCCTCTTTCCTAGTTTTCTTTTTCAGTGTTCTTGAAACTCTCCCGTGTAAGCTTTGAAATGTACTTATCCCCTTATTTAGATCATAATTATACATACATGACACTACAACCTAAACAGCTGAAGTTGGAAACTATCTTTGTAGCAGAAATGTTGTAATTAGAAATATTGCTTACTTTCCACAGTTCATAGAAGCTTTCCTACCAGTTTTCTTATTTTTTTTTTGTAATATCACCATATATATCATCACCAAAGAGCAGTTTATTCAATTCCTTCATTTATGTGCTTGCCAACAGAGAGCATGGCCTGTTGACAGGTGAGCACTAAAAGTGCACAAAATAAAAATGTTTCTTAAATATGTACAAAACACTTTTCTTCAACGAGTATAGAAATGAAGGTTATATAAAACAACATAAGTTCTGATACAAAATAAATGGTTACTCAGCTTTCCACATGTGCAATCCAGCAGCAGTCTAGTAGCACAGGCAGAATATTGATCATAAAGTTTCATGTATTTGAAGAAAGTTGTCTTCTGGGTTTAGGCACCGTGTATTCTTCGTTTTGGCCGACATTTCGGAGGAACTTAGCTATTCAACTGCTCTGAAGATGGAGGCGCTAAGTTCCTCCGAAACGTCGGCCAAAACGAAGAATACACGGTGCCTAAACCCAGAAGAC